CTGGTTCTATGAAACTCGGAGGACACTTAAGCACTTCCTATGAGTAGTGAATGCGAAAGCAGTACGTTCTGTCCCCGCCGCTCGTTCCGCCCGCCGTGTATTCGGACACTTGACAACGATGGTGGATTTCGCTGCCTGCTTCTTCGCTCGTTTTGCTGCGTTCTTCCGCTCGCTTAGTTCGTCTGCGGTGTACTGACGTGGACGGCACGTTTCGCTACAGCCGAGGTTGCGTCCGCCGACGATATAGATGCTTCAGGCGCCGCCATGTTTGTCGGCGCCTAGTGGAGCAGACGCGGCCGCAGCGCCGGCAGAGAGTGCGGCGGTGCGCTGCGCATACCGCCCTGGCTCGAAGGTGACTGCTGCACCGCTGGGTCGTCGGGAGCGCGAAGCTCGGCACGGCGCGTGCAGAAATCATGTGTCCTCTCATCATCATCATCGCCCTAGGTGCGAACACCGGTTGACGACGTTTGACAACGGTTGACGACGGTTGACGACCTAACCAAAGCCTCCACTATGCTCACAAAGCCTGGCAGTTCGACGACGGAGCCATAGACTGTCCGGTCGCAGATTTGGAACGCGAGAATCTGGTAGCACAGGGCATTTCTCGGGGAACATGGGCGTCAGCGCACAGCTTTTGCAGCGGCGAGGACCCGAAACATGGTTTTCAAACCCGTCAAGAAAAGAAGCGGTAGCGCGAGGAGCACGAGCGGACATTCCATCACTCGGGAGAAGTGTGTTTCAGCGTCTTGCCGCAGCGGGACGCCCGTCACCTGACTCTTCTAGAGTACCTTCATAGACAGGCGCGCTTTTGCTTGAGTGGTGACATCTCAGCCATTTTACCGCCCAATCGTTTTTTTATGCATTTTGAAGTGTGCGCAATCCGGTGTCACTCAGCTCGAGCGCGTAGTTTTGGCTAATGCATAGACGCCATTTTACCGCCCAAGTCAGGCACCGAGTGCGCCAGAGCGTCACGCGCTGGCATATTCAAGGCAAAAATGGATGTCTTCACCCTGAGACAAACAGATATGTAGTCACTCTAGACTCTCCTCTCATCCGTTGTCTGCCCCTCTACCTTTTCAATGTCGGCGGCCGCGTCTCGTGGCGATCTGCCAGGCTTTACCAGTATAGAGGAGGCTATGGCCTAACGTCAGGGCAGCGCATGCCCGCATACTGCCCCCCCCCCCCTCGCCCCCCCCCCCCCCCCCCCGCTGCGCTGCCAGTTCGGCTGGCCCCTTAGCAACAATGACGCCGTTGCTATGGAGCCACATGACGCATCGCAGCCAATGGGAATTTAGGTGCCGTATTCGCTGCTACAAACAGCGGTTATAACCGATTCACAGGTCGGACCGAATCGCGATTTTCGTCCGTGGACCGTGTAATATTTGACCGTCACGTCACCGATTCCTGCCATCCGCGCCTCGTCCGCGGACGCGCGGACATGATAAGGTCGAGCGTCTTTTCTCTCGCGGATTTCAAGCGGGTGATTGACTTGAAAAGCGTTTAGCCTGGCGACGGCACAGTGTTTTTTTTTTTTTTTTTTGTTCGGACAATTAAAACAAAAATGGCGCATTGTTGTTTTTTGTGCGTTCGCCGGTTCATTTCATCGCGCGATTCTTGGTTCCACCCGTGAAAGAAGCTGCAGAAACTTTGTCAGGCTGACGCGACGCAGGTTCCGGTACCCCTCCGGGTCAGTGTTAAAAAGCTTCCGTCAAAAGTCGTCTGGCACGCCGCGATAATTCTAGCTCGCCCAATCAGCCTTTCACCCAGCAAGACTTTTCTAGTGGCTGTTGGTGTTTGCGTTGTGCACTAGCTCGGAGTCCGTGAAGTCATCTCTAAACGGCCCTCTGCAAGCCCAGAACTTCGTCGCTTCTACGCCGAAGCCTTATCCAACAGGACCATGCCTGTGTCATTGTCATGCCTTGGGTTAGTATAAAGCTATATAGTGGTGCTTCTCGCGCAGCATATCACGATGTCCTGTCTCGATCTGTACGTAAAAGCGGTTTAAAGTTCTTTATCGCGGTAGCAAACGTCGATTTCTCTCTTAGACAACGGCTACGGTGCGGTGTCGGAGTTTTGGGGCACCGTGGGGTGGCGAACAGGTTCGGCCCGTCTTCGTTGGTGTTTGTTCGTCGCCTCCCTCGTGTGGATGTAATTGGGAGACGGACGAACCCCGGACATGTCGTCACGTGATCAATCCGTCCGCAGATCAGTCCGTCGAGTGAATCGGCCATTACAGACAACGGCTACAGAGAACACTGCGATCCCGTCGACAAAAATGACCACTCGCCGGTGTTCCGGGATATTATACGAAGCGAATACGAATAGGCATCGAACTAATTCACGCGCGTAAAATAAATAAAGAGATATCAAGAAAAACGACGCATTTCTACCGCAACGTGTTGCACAACTATTCCAAAACGACGCATCTAGTAGAAGAAAGGAAAAAAAAAATCAGACGATCGCAAATTCGCAATCGATTTGTTCTTCAAATGGCGAGACTGCGGCAACACCGGTTCGCCGAAATGAGAACAAAATCCGGGCGCCCGAAACACCGTTCTTAAATTACACGGGAACAGCTCCAGCCGGCACTGTGTACCGACGGCACAATATTGATGACCTCATATAGCTCACGCCTATTCTTTCCTGTTTACAATATCCGATGTGTCGCTTTACCATCTTCGGTCAAATGTTCTGCGTGTACATTGGCTGTGCGACAATATCCGGCTGAGTTTTGAGTGTGACTATAGGTGTCATAATACGTGGCAAATACTTAGCTCCAAAGAGGGACGAAAACGTTCGGCAACGATGCAGACGGTCGAGCCTCATTTGCTCGACGCCCAAAAAGCACAAAAGCAACCTATAAAAAAATAAAATAGATACACAGCAGAATAAGCTGTCATATTTTTAGGAATACCTCACAAACAAAGCGCTAGCGCCAGTATACTCTCGGTAGCACCCACGGCGAGCGCGTTTCATTGGAGTGAATATCGACACACACACAGACACACATATCCATTACGCGAAACGTAAAATAAAAAAAAAAAAATGTAAAACGAAGAATACGACGACTAGAGGAGAGCATTTCGAGTGCCGTGACCCACAGACGTGCAACCCGGGCTGCAGCGACTGTTTTGGCTGGCGTCATACAGCGGAGCAGGTATGTTTCTATGATTCCGAAACCATTGCGATCGTCATGCTTCTTCCACGCTCGTCGGTGAAATCTTAAATAAAACGTGCAAACAATAGATCCTGCGGGGGAAAAAGACATACACCGGTTTTTGCGCACGAAATCACGCAGAACAGTGTAGTTGCTGTGCGGCGATCTTGTGTGTCAGAAATGCCTTCACGTCAAGCGATCCAAAGCCAACTGGCAAAAAGAGCTTGAACCATAGCCTCCTATATGCTGATATAGCCTGGCAGATCGCCACGAAAAGCGGCCGCCGAAATGGAGCAGATGGAGCGGCAGACAACGGATGAGAGGAGAGCCACGTGACTGGCGCCCCGCTGCGGCGAGACGCCAAAACACACTTCTCCCGAGCGAACAAGTGTGCTTCAGATCCTAGCCGCTGCAAAAGCTGTGGGCTGACGTCCAGGTTCCCCGAGAAATGGATCTTCGATGCTCTGTGCTACCAGATCCTCGCGCTTGAAATCTGCGACCGGGCACTCTTCGGCTCCGTCGTCGAACTGACAGGCTTTGTGAGTATAGGGAGGCTATGCTTGAACGCCAACGTAAGCATCAGCCAGCGATTCTACAAGCGCGTTAGTAGTCACTGGGTACTCATAGTCATATTATCACTACTCAGTCAATGAGATTGCAGCATCAGTCGGAGAGAGCGCCCAAGGACCAATCAGAAGCAAGAAAATATTAAGCCAGACCATGCGCTTCTTAAGATGTAAATTAATGTTGAATGTCTAATAAACTGTACGGCGAGGAGGCAGTGCGAGGGAAGTGTGTCTCGAACAACCACTATCCCAAAACTATATGCCCGAAAGCGGACAAGTATCGGTGCCGAGAATGAAGGGGAAAGGTTTCCCCGTCTTTCTCAATGGGAGCACGAGGTGACCTTCCTTCATAGAATTATGACGATAAAGTCAAGCTTCTATGATTATACTTGACACCATTTTCACGTATAAGTTGGCTAATACGCGACACACGTCGTTCCTGGCGTCTTAGACCGACCCAGCCAGCATTCCTACACCTTTCTCCTTGTTCGGAAAAATACGGATAGCACACCCTTCCATACTGTGAACAACCGTTAGTTTTCCAGAGTTCGCGGTTTGTATCCTGGATTCTGGCGTCACCAAATCGATAGCGCCATCCTCCCAGTCGAGGCGGCAACCTTCCAGTGCCTCACGGGTCGACAAACCGCGACATCGAGTGAGGCATAATCTTAGTTCGCCTCGAGTTAGTAAAAAAAGTCGCATCTTTCACCCACAGTGTGCGAAGAGACGAAAGCGATAGCTGCAGCACGGTCGCGCAATGCGGGTGGAACGGTGCCATCACGTACCTGAGGACGGAGGTACGACGTAGTTAGTTCTCATAGCCGTCGTGATTGGCGTCGTGGATGCCACTGACGACCGCCACCGGTGCCAGGTGATCCGTGAAGTAAGTGGGTAAGCGCGGTGGAAGTTTCGAAAACCGTCCACCATTACGCGTAGCAAGTGGATACTCCCAAAATGGGATTTCGCATAACGCAAGTAATGTTTGAAAACAAGTCTTTCAAGCAGACGACACGAAAGACTCTCACTTAATTCGTCGCGTCGTTACTGGCGGGATGCCGGGGCTCCCCTCTCTTCTCTCTCTGCGCTGCGCGGCCGACGCAAAAACCCAACTTCCCTGGCCTCTCGCCAAAAGCTAAGAGAAGGGTTTTTCCACAGCGGCGTACGACGACAGCCCACGGGCTCGAAATCTCCACAAGGTGTCGCCCGTAAAGAAATCGCTTTAAAACTACCCACAACTCTGTCGACAAAACAAATCGCCGGTGAAGTGAATCCCTTACCTGACTGATGCGGTTGAAGCCGTACTGGCGAAACCTCTCGTCGTAGAGCGGCGCCGAGTTGCGGCCGAAGTAGAAGGGCTCCCAGGGGTCCCTCCAGAGCACTTCGAAGAGCACGGCGAGCCGCTGTCCCGGCGGCTCCCGCTGCCAGGCTTCGTAATCCGTGTGCTTCTGGCACTTCCAGCACAACTCGAGGTAGAAGGGACGTGCATCCATGGCCTCGACGCGCTGCAGCAGAGACGCCTTGTCCCTCGGAGACGGCACACCGTCGCGCACCTCAAACGCCGGCGCCACGTACACCGTCTTGTCGTCGCGGTGAGACTCGACAAAGAGGCGGTTCTCGCGGGCAAAGTCCACGAAGGACTCGTGCAGACCGTCGTTGGGCAGCAGGTCGACGTCGAGGACTAGGACAAACTCGGTCTGCGAGTTGCGGCGGGCCACGTTCCGGAGTAGGTTGACAGGGTAGGAGACCCCCAACGCGTAGTTTTCCGGGAAGCGGAGCGACCGCAGTTGGTCTGGCAGCGCGTCGCAGGACGGCGAGGAGAACACGTGGCCGGCTGCGGCCTTGGGGACTTGGTCGCCGGCCACCGTGGGCTCTTGGTCCGGGGGTTGAGGGCCCCGGCTGTTGAGCGGGTAGACTAGGTGGAAACTCGTGTTGAACCTGGGAACGGGACGTGTCGAGACCTGTTGAGCGACGCGGGACAAAACGAAGAAACAGGCGACGGAAGCGTGCATGCTCTGTGAAGCTGTTCCTTAAACGCTGAGGCCGCTAAGCTCAGAACACGTGACTGTCTTTCGTTAGTGTGCTGCTTCTCGTAGCCTCGGCCGTTTTTATACTACGAATGCCATGAAGAAGCTGTGGAACCCGCGGGAGCGCGCGTCAAGATTGAGGGAAATTGTGGTATACTGCACGACCGTTTGCGCGACTAGTAAAGGCTCGTTCACATACTTGTAACGGAGTACGACCGAGAGAGATCAGACAAGTTTTTTAGCCTTTTGCGACTTCTTAGGACTGGATGCGTTGCTGCGGAACTGGTCCTAAGACGTCGTAAGAGGTTTAAAAACTGGTCTTGTCTCTCTCGGTCGTACTCGGTTACAAGTGTGTGAACGTGATAATAGTAATATTTATTTTGGTTCAGCATAGCCGCGCCACCACAGAAATGAAAGTACCATGAAGGCCTTGCACCGCATCTAATGATGATGTGATGAGACCATGTACAGATGACAGAGAGGTGCTGACCATGTTTAAATATAGCTTGTGGGCGAGGGTGAGGGGATGATGTAGCGGGTGATTACGACCCAGTGCTGTTTAGTGGGCTTCTCGTTAAAGTACAGTCTCACTTCTGCCCGTGTGTATCGTCAGATAAACAATCAGAAGGCTCATACTATGAGTATGAGCGACAGAAATACTTCATAAATAGGGCTCAGTGTTTTCGGATATATCCGCACAAAATCCTAAAAACACTCGCCGGTGAATTTTTTGTCAATGCAGAGGTATCCGAAAACTCCGAATTTTGAGGTAAAAATGACAAAATAAAATGAAAAAGACGGTGTTTGACAAATAAATTGCATAGGAGCTCAGTAATTGTGGTCCTGAGGAGAGGCCACTTCAGTTTCCTCTGAAATCTAGAACTACTGACAAAAGGGTTTGCCTTTTAGCACGTCGAGGTTCCTTCAGAACAACGGGTCATGATACCCGAATATTATTTATTTCGTTTTTGTTTTTTTTTTTAAATATAAGAACACAATAAAAAAAAAAAAAAAAAAAAACTTCAAATTTCAAAGAATTGGGAATTCTCAGCGAAAAATAAATTCCGAAAACCCGCCAAATTTAACGATAAATAATCTCCGAAAACATTGAATCCTACTTGTACTGAGTAAAAATTCCGTTACCGGTCGAGTGGCATCAGCATTTTTCATTCTTCCCATCCTTATATTGAGGTTTAGAGACATTGGAGATCCCAGGAGAAATGTGAGCTTCTTCTACAAGACAGGTCGCTGCCGGGCGAGATGAGAAATGTCATATGTTAAAGGAAGATGGTACAAAATTTTAAAATATTTCAGGGGCTCAGGCAGGAAACATTGACTTTAGGGAGGTATTGTGTTCGCCCTTCTGTTCATAGCTAGCTTAAAAAAACTGCCTGCGAGCACCGTTTTTCTGGGGAAGTCTAGGACCTTCTTTGTAAGCTTCCTGAACGAGGGGAGTCATTTTCGATTTTCCTTCAACTCTTTATGATACAAACAAAACTCGCAATGCAGCAAACACTTAAACGTCTGCATACCCAACTGTTCTTAATCAAGTACGTGTTTGCACGCAGCATCTGTGAGTACCATGCACGCATGTGCAGAGTACCCCTTTGTGAAGAGTGACACATTTGCGCATGCATCGACAGCACCTTTGCCTGAAAATGCCAGTCCTTGTATAAAAACGCATTGATTCGTCTCTTTCTTTCTTTTTTTTTTTTTTGTAGAAGGTTACTTAAGGGACAAGGAACAGCAAAAGGACCACCAAACGCAACCCTAAAATCGGTAAACCGGAAAGCTTGCCAATGTTCGTGTTTTTAGTCAGTTTGCGAGTAATCAAGATGCAACTTATTTTTCCTGGCGAATTTAGTTCCGCTTTTGTTTCTTTGTTTTCGTCTATACATCTGTAGCCGAGACTAAAGTTTCTTTTATTCCCGTTAGAGTTGCGGCCGACGTTTCAAGTAATTCCTCCTCACCGACAGGTCAAGAAATTTAGGGACTGGCAAGTCCCGATGATCATGTCATTGCTCCGCAGTCAATGAGATGTCGACACGAGTCGATAAGAGCGCCGAAGCACACATTAGAAAGCAAGAAGCCTGAACATATAATAAGCTACGCTTCGCGTTTATAGGCCTCCTGCGTTACCCACGGGGCGCTGCGAAAAGGGGTTCTCATTAGAACTTGTTTTGGTCTATCAGGAGAGCTTGTACTACCCAAAATGAGGGCACCAGTTTGTCTGATTGTGAACTCCCAAACAAATCAAACATTTCTCATTGGTCGATTGCGCTCGCCCAGCAGCAAGCAGTGATGCCACGTCCAGTCCACAGCAGAGAAATCTCTCGGACCACCATTGTACCCCAGATTTCTTGGAGTGTACCAGTCTCGAGCATCAAGCTTCGTGGTCTGTATGACCTGCAGGCGGAGGAGGCTCACCTGAGCGCCGGCATGCACCGCCTCATCTGGACGAGGACCTCGACGACCAGCGGCAGGTCCCGGCGCAGGGCAAACACGGTGACGGCCATCGGGCCCCGCCAGCGTTCGCTCAGGGGCCCCAGGTAGTGGACGTGGTTCACCGTCGTCTGCGTCACCAGCGTCGCATCCGGACGCACGTGGTTCCGGGACCCTGAGAACGCGCCAAGAAACGACCCCATTCGCACTTTCCTACGCTACATATACGCACATCTGCAAGCTGCCACGCTTCGTAAGCCGGTCTAGCCACCGTGGCTGGACCATCAGACGACCTACAGAGGGGAGCAGCAAGATGGCGGCGCCCAGGGACTTATTTCCAAACGTCTGCAACGCTTCAAAAGCCAGTCTGACCACCGGGAGTAAAAAACGCTTTGTCTGCGTGGCAGTCTGACAACTGCGGGAGCACCTAGCGAGGTTTGACTATCAGGCAATCCAGACGCACCAGCAGCAAGATATCGGCGCCGAGAGGTCGTAATTGCAAACGTGTGCCACGCTTTGAAAGCCAATCTGGCCGCCGTGGATAAAAACGTTTATTTGGGAATCAGATCGGCAACCGTGGGCACGTCTTAACGAGTCTCATGTAGGTTGGGAGAAGGGGAGGCGACATACAGGCTAAAGCCAGTCAAACAAGAAAGTAGAGGTCGCGGTCGGTGGGAACAACCCCAAGGATGCCCAAGGGACCTTTGCGTCCAATAGCGTCTTTTGGTTTTGTTCGCTCTTGGTCAACGTTGGGGGCATGTTTCTTCAGACCGGAAGCATCCCGTGGCTTCACCTCTGGAGGCGTCATGTCGCCTCCAGAAGCTTCCTACCGCCATTGCGCGGCTTGACTATCAGACAATTTATACCCGTCAGTAGCAATATGACGGCTCCCATAAGTCGTACTTGCAAACTTCTATACAAGTTTGCTAGTTTCCCCGCTTCAAGAACCAGCCTCGCTACCATGAATGCAAAAAAAAAACCGCTTTGTTTGGGCGCGCTTTGCTCGACTATCAGACGATCTACAGACGCCATCAACAAGATGGCAGCGTCCAGAGGCGGTACGTGCAAACGTCTATACACGTATGAAAGCAGACATGTTTCAAAAGTCAGTCTGCTCATTGTGGGCTGAAAAAGAAAACGCTTTGTTAGGGTAACTGTTTGAAGTCTCACTAATCTGAAGCATAGCCTCTAACTTCCGCTTTAAGTGAACCCGGTGCGTCAAAGAGAAATGAAGACAGGAGCAGCGCGAGTCCATCCTGTCCCTCACCGAGCAGGCTGTCGGCGCGTGCCAGGAAGTTGACGATGTGGAACTCCCCACCGGAGTCGAGCACCGAGCTGCGGCGAATGACAGCCTGCATTTGGCTGCGGTCTTCGTCGGCGTCCCTCTGGGCGAGCGACTCGGACGCGCCGCCGCTGCCGCCGGCACGACTCTTGCGGGCCTCCAGGCGGGACAGCAGCGTGATGTGGATGACCTGCGGCCAGAAGACTATTGTTAGGGCGACCTCTATAGGCCTCCTTAATGTCCACAAGAGGCTCCAGTGGTCCAAATTTGGTAGCCGCGAGAGCGAGATCCAATTAACCTCTAGCGAAGCGAGCGACGATAGCGTTTGTAGACGGTTCGTCTGCGTGAGCGAAGAATACGGTTCGTCTGCTACGGAGTGCCATTCGGAGGCGGAAGTAAAACGAGAAAACCGCGTGCGTCGACTGCTAACAGACCGCAAAAAGAGTTGATCGTCTGCTATGAACCGAGCGCCGCGGTGCATTGAGATCGGGCGCAGGCTGATTTTGTGATGGTCTGATATATTCGCGCTTCGTTTGCAAATCTCACGTTATTCCGCTGCCGTAAAAAAAGCCGACATCGACCGGTGGGTCAAGGATTGCTAAGGACAAGCACATCAAAGACCGCGAGATTTCTCTCGCTATTTGTTTGTTGGTACAGCGTTTCTTACATAGGCTGTTTTCCAAAATCTACTCGATCCGACTCCGCAGTAAAGGTATCCTACCGCGGCGTTTCAAACGTAACTCATGCTTACTCGATGATGTCAGAACTCGCTTTCCAGAAGCGGGTAGTTTCTCAGGTAGGTGGGTAACGTCGGATAAAATTAAGTAAAGACGTCGCGTGATCTGTTCGCCGTCTGGTCGGCGTCTGATTTCTGCGCTCACAACCGTCAAAGTTCGTCTGCTTTGTTGGCTTTGGTGGCAGATGTTCGAAATGGCAGAGAATGAGGAGCAGCCATTTATGTGTGCTTATTGCGAATTTCTGTTTTGAACGTACGAAGTCATTGTGCACCAGATTCAAACCGTGCACCTTCTGCAGGAAGGCATACCTGTTCTTACTTTCAGAGTGTGAGCGTAAACAGAAGCTTCTACGCATCCTCGTCTTCGACGCTGCAGTGTACTCCGTATTCTTACGTTCAAGGCTGAAGATGTTCGAACGCAGTAGATGATGTAGAACTAATTTATCCCCCAATCTGTGCGCAATGAGAGGATAACGCTTGTGGACTAGTGAAAGCTTCAAATATTTCATGTATATGATCAGTCAACAACCCCATCTCCTCCCCCTCCCCAAGAAATTGCCCGTAGAGGTTTGGAAGTTCTCTCCGTGATTTTGTAATCATACACGCGTCAAAGCGAACGTAACTTACATATCACTCTTGAGAAAGATCCCTGCGCTGTACCGCTACACCGTGTGGAAGCGGACTCTAAATGTCCGCGAAACGTAATCGATGCAAAAGACGATGCGTGGAACGTATGCGTTTCGGGCACCTGGACTACACTTACAGCGATCCCGCTGATTAATAAACATAAAGTCTTGATGTCTAATTAAAGGACTAAGTAACTTTGATCTCAATATACAGCCCAAAATCAAGGTGAGCAAGTGGAGCCGACGGGGACACTTCCGATTGCACCGCGTCATCACCGTCAAAAAAAAAAAAAAAAAACTTCACGGCGGTTAATAGTATCGTCTCTTCGATTGCTTCCTCCATGATGAGTCACGGATCGTGTACTCGCGATGTCACGTGGTATTATCACCTGCTGACGTAAGAGACAGGTTACTCGGGTAGCATTCGGAACATAGCCATGTTACGCAATGACTGTCGGCTTTGAGCAGAGGCAAGCGGAATGGAGAGGGTGAATAGTACGTTTGGCTGCCGTGCGGTGGAGCCACCTAGGCGTTCAGCACAGACCTGTCATGTAGTGAAGCTAACCACCTCTTTCATAGGAGGTTCAATGATGTTGCCCCATCAGCACCGACAGCCAGGTATTTAAAACGTTCTTGACCAACAGTCTAAAGCTCGGGACCGGCTCGCGGTTTTCAGCGGAATACTATTTTATTTTTCCTATCATTCACCCGCAAAAGTGTCGGCGCCAACTATTTACATACGCACGATTTATGGCAACCGCCAAGACCCAAACTGCCGCCGCAGCAGACGGCCAAGCGGCCAAGCGTTCCGCATTGCACAAGCGCCGCATGGCTGTGCTTGTTTCGTAGTTTCGGTAATTTGCCTCACCGAAACTCTTTTGAATCCGGGTGATCACACCCAAAAAAGCGTTCCACATGTAAAAAAAACAGACATACATACACATATATATATATATATATTCAATATACATGTAAAAACTACACGCTAGAAAACAAAACAAAAACGGCCGCTTGGCGGTGCTACAAAGCCGTTCGTGCAGGGACCTTAGTTCGTGCTAAAGTTCTTATACATCGGGCGACCGCGAGAAAACAAAGTCCTCCTTTTCAAACCGCAACAAATAAACTAGACGTAGCGGAGAACTCGAACTACGTCAGAACGTAGCCCCAGCCGTTCGAGCACGATGCCAAAATTTCAGCCCCAACCGTTATCTCATTCAAAAGTTGTTATCAATGATTTTCTGAAATTTCCAATGGGTAAATGACGCCTAATTTTGCCCGTTTTCGGTTTCTGGCGCCATGGAGCTTCCTGTATTCAAAGCTCCATCGGCCGCCATTTTTCCAATGAAATTTTCAGAAAAATCGCTTATAACATTTGAATAAGCTAATGGTCGCTACTGAAACTTTGACATCTTGCTCGAAAGGCTGGGACTACGCTCTGACGGAGTTTGAGCTCTCCGCGATGTCTAGTTTATTTTTTGCGGTGCGAAAAACAGGGTTCGGTTTTCTCGCGGACATCTTGTACTTTAGTTCGTGCATGTTGTAAGGTGGAGCATCGGGCCTGGACGTCTCTCAGAGGGAAGCCGGCAGGCATAGCGTAACTTATATAGGAGGCACTGGTTGGTGAGACGTTATAATCAAAATACTGCCCGAATGCAAACTCGCGAACGTTTCAAAAATCTCGCATTGGTTGATTTCGTGCTAGCCACAGCGCCACTTCCAATCAGCAACCGAGTACGCCCTTGCTTTCACCTTGACCAAACTAAGGACTCCAGAAGAGACAAATGTGATATGGACGACGAGACGAATGCTGACGCCTTGAAGTAAGAGTACGCTATTGTCCAGTGATGCGATTAAGTGAAGTGATTTTGGAGCATCATTTGGGGCAGCAAAATACATTTTAGGAGCAATACTCTTCGCTAGCATTCATTCCCCTGTGAATATTAAGGCAAGACTGATGTGCTCATGTCCAACTAAAACGCAGTGCTTCTTTTCCTTTCCACTTATGTGTAACCACTTCTCAGCATCCATTGCAAGCACATTAAAATTGCGAAGGTAATTTAATTATGCGCATCAATAGCATCCTAACTGTAGGTATTTTCGATCAGGCGGATTCAGTTCGTGACAATTATTATGCCTTAAAATATTCTACTCGACGTAATATTGTTGTTCCCGAGCTTTCATTCCAACAAAAACGTTAATTCAGTTTTAATTTAAACTTCACTGACTTTATCCACAAAACATTGTGGGTCTATTTAAATGTGCTAACGAAACGCACACACACAAAAAAAAAATAATACCTTCAGCACAGCCTGGTTACACATAATTAACGTGGCTGATCAGCCCTTTCCCGATAGCTGGTTTTCAAATATTTCTCCTTAAATATCGCAATTAAATATAAATAAATAAAAAGAATCCACGACCGATGATGCTCGCAACTTGTCAGTATCTCATAGTCTAATATATAGACTAATCGTAGTCTTACAGTGCGAAAGTGTTGCAAGTTGGCAAGTTGGTTTTATAGCGCCAATTTTGCAACGTTATATTTATTTTTACGTTTTTCTTTTCTCTAATCTTTGACGCGTCGTCGATTGCCATTTTATCCTCGAGGGTCGTTTTACCCTCAATACGAAGCTGCGCTGCGGCGAAGCGACAACCACAACATCGTGATGTCTACTGCGCGGGCGTAGCTTTTCTGCAGTGCACGCACACGGTGAGAAGCGCACTTAACGGGCTACCAACAACAAAATATATCACGAAACTTCGAATACCGAGTCGTGTTCGATACAAAGATAGAATCAAATCATACGTTACTCAAAGCGATAAAAAATGTCCCGAAAATTCACGCAAGCTTACCGGAACAACCCGGTAGTGCAGCGACGCCTGAATTATTCGTTTCCGCATTCGTAAGAAAAAATTAGCCGCATCCGCACATATATAGAACGTAACGATTTAGAGAGATTTAGGGGAGGAAGTGGCCGAGTGGGCTAACGCGTCTCAGCTCGGAGCGTGGAGCGAAAGCTTGCGCTGGGAACCTCCTGGGCTCGATCCCCGCCGCCCCCGCCCGTTTCGATCTGGATGAGTTTCGTACCGGCACGCGTTCGTGTGATCACTACTGCGTGATGCACGTTAAAAACCCCAGGTTAGCGGTTGTACCGCACTGGCCAAATTTCTCATCTACAGCTAAGAGACCGATTACCCGTTGAGGCGCATCTCCATCAAGGCTGTATAAACATAAAGAGCAAGCCAATTTTTTTTTTTTTTTTTTTAGAGAGATTTAAAGGCATATACTTGTTGCGCGGATGTTTAGACAGAAAAGGGTTAGTTTGCCTTGAAATGTCATATCTGCTGTCTCTTCTACATCGCTTTGCATAGATGGGCTGTTTGGATAGCGCAGTAGGACTCCTAACCTTCAATATCTAATGCACATCACGCAGTAGTGATCCCACGATCGCACGCCGATACTGTAACCAATCACGTGAAATATTATTAAGGCTACTAGGGCTGAGCGTTAGCAAGCAGCAAAAGGGAGTCACATGGCACGTATTTTCCTATCGCCTTCAGCGACGCCAGAGGCCTTACGCGTTAGCGCACCACGGCTTGGAGCACGTGGATGCGAAAGCTCGCGCTACAGAGTCTAGGAACACTAGGCTCAATACCCGCGCCCCGCTGCTTTTAGTATGGATGGATATGGACACATTTGCAAAAATCACAAGTCCTTGCGCGCGCGGCGCGCAACGAATTGTGGGAACGACCTGTACGATCCTCTCTATTTCGGTAGCATCTACCACGTTACATTGCCAGAAACCGAGCATGCGAGAAAAAGAGAAC